CCTGAGCAGCGAAAAAGGGAGAAAGGCAAAAATGCTCGAAGCTATCGTCCCTCATTCCAATCCTTGTTCAAGTAAAGAAGTGACCCTCTCCATGTGAACCCAATCTTTAGATCACCATCCCCGGCCCTACAATCTGCGATGAAGCCGAAGTGGCAAAGCTTGTTGCGGCCTTCTTGTTAGAGACATCAGGGGATTTTCTAGATTTTTCTTGATTCTCTTAGATAGTCATTCTATAAAATTTATAAATAAGCTCATGTACTCTTCGTTAAAATTCGCAGAGAAATATACAAAATTACATGAATTTCTCTTGATATCAAAGTGAGATTCTGATCTAGTTATTTCACATGTGGGTCCTCCATATTCGTTAGATTTTGAAGCTAAATTGTGAAACAACAACAACACCGCCAAATTGCGAAGCTAAAAGGGGAATGATTTGCAGATACAAATCGCCAACAAATGTAATCAAATCATGCTCCAAAAGAAAAGCCTCTCTCTCTCTCTGAAAATCTCGCTTTCCCATGACTATTTTCCTCGGCGAGCTTGCTGTGCTGTTTCCTCGGCACGCAGGGAAAGTGATAGCTTGGATGAGATGGGGCCCAAAGTAGATGAAGAAAAGATGCAACCATGGTGTCACAAGTCTACGTTGGCGGGCTCAATCTAGATAGTCAGTTCTTGTTTCGTCAAAACTACTCCCGCAACGAAAAATCTTTTATTGAAAGTCGTTCTTCGATTTTTAATGAGAGGAGACAGATTCTACGGCGATTTTGAACAAGAGATATTCAGTCAATAAGGAATAACCCTAAAACTTTTACTTCGAATTTCGAACCGAACCGTACGGACAAATCATGCCGGAATTTTATCTATGACAAAGCTTGAAAGTACAGCCACTTTCACAGCAACACAGGTCCACAAACTGTGTCGAAATTTAATCGACGATAAAACTTGAAAACGTGCAAAGATGTAATGCCGGAATTTAATCGACAATGCAACACCTAAGATAATACACGCCAGAATTTAATCGATGACGCAAATCGGAAAACTACAGCTAAGGAAAAATAAAGTGCAGTATAGGAAAGTAAAGATAATTGAAAGATAACATTTTGATTGATTTGTTAGGGGGTGCTTCCAAAGAGTATAATGTGGCTATTTAAAGCCTACAATCGATGGTTATAAATAGAGGTTACAAACGGTTACTAACAGAGACTGCGAACGGTTACAAATAGAGGTTACAGACGGTTACTAACAGAGGTTACAAACGGTTACTAACAGAGGTTACAAACGTTTACCAACGGTTACATTAAGTCTACTACCTTGACAGTTTATTCGACTCTACTACATTGACGGTTGCTTCTACCCTACTACGTTGACAATTCTTTCTTCGACAGTTGTATATGAGATTGTCGACTCCACTTTTTGTCAATTCCTTCAAGTCGGCAATTCTTCCATGAAGGTCATATCCTTTTTCCGAATCCTGACCAGTCACGATAATCTACTTTCTTCCAAAATCGACAAATCTATAGTGCTTTCCTAAGAAAACTCCAAACATAAAAGTTGTAGATCCAGGAGTCTTCGTTCTTTTGGTTTTGGAATTAGGTCAATCCAATATGTATCAACAAAGTTATGACCATTTTCCCGAACTAGCGCAGAGCTGAAATTTATGCTCGTTTTGTGACGGAGTCTTCGTGTGTGCAAGTCACTCTCCCAATCCTATTGCTCGAGTAGTCGACACATTGGGCTACATCAAAAAGACCACGAAATTTTGCTCTTATTGACTAAACCCATCACTTATTAATAATAACAAAAAAATGGTCATTTTTTGGTGTAAACATATGCCCCATTTTAAAAGAATTGAATGATTCATCAATCATTCAATTCTTTTAAATTAGGTAACCAAGAGTTTTCATGTGCCCCTTGTCATTGGCAAATTTGATTTTTTTTTCTTGCCAAATTTAATCTTGCTCGGATGCATCACATGACTAATACTTCTCCACGAAAGACACGTAATATGTAGAGTCTTCATGGGGTCCTTTATCTCTGTTTTTTTCCTCTGCGAGCTTGCTACGCTGTTGTCTTTGCACGGCGGGGAAGTGAAGGCTTAGCTTTGCTTTTGCTTCAGCTGGAAATTCGTGATCTAATTTCTGGAGTCTTTTAGGGTGGACATTTGCTAGTGCAGTCTAGACAAATCTTACAAAAAAAAATCTGGTACGTGGGCGGCCAAGGATGCCATCTAGAAGAGTACACCAGATTCTCAAGTGTTCAAAGAGAATCAATTATGGCTGCTACAAAATATATTGGGAACAGTTGGTGCATGTAGGTTTGTGCGTGGGGCGTTGTCCTCCACCATGAGCGGGGAGCATTAAAATAATCTCCCTATCATGTAACTCCTCCACTGACACCTGCTCCAATTACTATAAAACTATTTTTATAAACTAGTGAAACTATTATTGTCACACAAACCTTGCCTATATTCCTCAAAGTAGGATACCCTAATCCATTCTTCTACATCAACTAAATCATACACACATATATACTTTCACACATCTAAACAAAAACTATCACGAATATCAAAATCATGTTTTCGTACAATCCAAATTTCTAACATGGTATCAAAGTTTTCAAATTTTCAACGACTTCTAATATAAAAGCTAAAGCGATACAAAAGTTAGGCGACACTTTGATAATACAGTTTCCCAAGACAAGTAAGAGGATGTGGGGCGGTTGTAGAGGGAGGAGGAGGCTGGCGGCGACAGGTAAGAAGTAGCAGAGACAGAGAGAGAGAGCGAGTGGGGGGGCCGTTGGGTGACGGAAGTTGTAGCAGAACAACCGAGGCATGGGGCAGAAGGAAAGCCAGCGGACGTCAAAGAAGGTGAGCCAGTAGGGCAGTGGAGACACGTTCACATCAAATTTTCATCTGTGAAACTGCATTATGTGTTAATTGTGCTCATTTGTTCAGATAGGAGAGAATAATACATATTCATTTTTTTTAAAAGCTGTAATTGCATCGACCAAATATGTCCTCCGAAATTGTGGAAATTAATTTACCTTTTCTTCAAATTCAATCATAGTTCATTATTCTATTCATTTAATACTAGACATTTTCAAATGCTATTTTTGAATTCATGCATGGCAAAGATACTTGACTTATGGATTATGATCGTTTAATCTCACTATATTTACATTCATTTTTCGGTTCAAGTCATGATATAGAAATCAGTCAATTATTTCCAGAAACTTTCCTGTTACAATTATTTAGTTTATATTATAAAATTAGGTACGTGCTTGGGCCGCTATCACCCGTATTGAAAGAAGCGTGACTTTATCTCATATTTGAAAAAGATTATGTCAAGTTGGTTGGAAAGATTCTTTTTTTTTTGTGGGATTTATAATTCTATAAATTCTTTAGTCAATGCTTTTCTTTCTTTTGCCTTGTTTTTAAGGAATTTATACTCGACACACACCATTGATTTGTGGAATTGAGGTAAACATCCTTACTCATTTTCACTCTTAGCAAAAAATTTGCAACATTCAAACAATTACTTCCTTTTGGCCCATTGATAAATTCTTGAGATTCCCGCAGATTTTGCGCTCCAAATTTGGTCAGAAGTCCTCACATTCGTCAATAGTCTGATACAAAGACCAATGTTATTACACTCGTAATGGAAGAACTAAATTGAAATTGGAATTGCATTATATGGACCAAATGTATATTAAAGTGACGTAAATTATTTCAATCCCTTTTCGAACAAAGAGACGAACTTCTCCATGCAAGCCCTAGTCAATGCCAAACCGACCTCCACGCCACCATCGCCACCATCGCCATTCCTACTCTCCGCAAGAGAGATTGCCCCATGTAAGTCGATGTGCACCATGTGGCTCTTCGTCGGCCTTCCCCACCCAAAATTTGTGTCGTACACCTTCAGTCTTGGCGACCCGGCCACTATCATTAAGTCCTCATTGTCAATAACTTTCCGGTCCTTGATCGATCCCTCCGCTCCTCTCAATCCTCCCCCCATCTTCACTTTCTCGACTCTCCTCGCTATTGACCTCGCGGCATGGGAAATTCCACTTTTGCCTAAGAGCGCATTTCTGTTCTTCAAGAGACAAGTTATGCCCAAACAATTACCAAAGTATGTTGAGGATATCAAGTATTCGAGTCGATCCCTACAATCTGCCAAAAAGCAGAAATAGCAAAAGTTGTCCTTGGCACTCTCCGATGACGATTGTTCATGATGCTCGCATTCTTTTTCTTTCGATTTGATTATGCATACCCATACGAAAGCGCACGTCACCATGAACGTCGACAGGTGGATTTGCTCCAACTCCGAGTCGATGTCGCCGTTCTCGAGTTCACTCAAGACCTGGGCTTTTGGCCCATCGATGTGAGCTTCTCCAAGGGCAAGCATTGCTCTCACCTTGTCCCCAACAGCAAGAAGAGCTTCGCTTGGGCATGGGCTTTTTATCGATTCTGATTGTTTTAATCTCACCGTATTTGCTTTCATTTTCGGTTCATGTCAAGCTATAGGAATTAAATTGTTATTTCCACAAATTTTCCTTTTATAATTATTAAGTTTATTTCATTAAACTAGGTACGAGCTCGGGCCATTATCGCCAATATTGGAAGAACCGTGATTTTATCTCATATTAGAAAACGATTATAGCAAGTTGGAAAATGATTTTTTTTTTGGTGGGATATATAATTCTATATGTTCTTCGGAAGAGTTGATGCTTATCTTTCTTTTGCCTCGTTTTTGAAACATTTAGACTCGATCCGTACCACTGATTTGTGAAACTGAGGTTGATATCCTTACTCATTATTTGCTCTTAGTCAGCAGAAGATGTGCAACATTCGAACAAGATGAGCAACATTCGGACAACTATTTATTTTCTTTTGGCCCAATGACAAATTATTGAGATTCCCGCCGATTTTGCGCCCAAAATTTGGTTGGAAGTCCTTGCATTTGTCGATAAACTAAGGTACAAAGACCAATGTTGTCACACCCGAATCATAAGGATTTCGGTTGAAATTGACGTAGGATTATATGGACGACATGTACACTAAAATGACATAAATGATTTTGATCCCTTTTCAAGTAAAGAAACAAACTTCTCCATGCAAACCCTAGTCAACGCTAGCCCGACCTCCACACCACCATCCCCATTCCTACTGTCTGCAAGAGCGATCGAGCCCGACATGTCTATATGCACCACGTGGCTCTTCATCGGCCTCCCCCACCCGAAATCCGTGTCATACACCTTCAGTCTCGGCGACCCAGCCACTGTCACAAAGTCCCCATCGTTAGCTGCATTAAAGTCCTTAATCCATTTCTCCGCCCCTCTCAATCCTCCACCCGTCTTCACTTCCTTGACTCTCCCTCCTATAGCCCTTGCAGCATGTGAAATTCCACTTTTGCCCAAGAGCGTACTCCTCTTCTCCGCGAGGAAACATATGCCCAAACAGTTCCCAAAGTACGTCGAGGGTATTGAGTATTCGAGTCGGTCCCTACAATCTGCCAAAAAGCAAAAACGACAAAGCTCGTCGTCACTGCTCTCTGATGATGTTTGCTCGCGGCGCTGGTGTTCTTTGCCTCTCGACTTGATCATGCATACCCATATGAACGCACTCGTCACCACGAATGTCGACAGGTGGATTGGCTCCGACTCCGAGTCAACGTTGTCGGTCTTGAGTTGACTTGAGACCTGCACTTTTAGCCCGTCGATGTGATCTTTTCCAAGGACAAATGTTACTCTCACCTTGTCAGCAACAGTGAGAAGAGCTTCGCTCGGGCTCGGGATCGGGCTCGGGCTAGAGCCCGCACAACTCCACCAGTCTTTCAGCAATATGGGCTCGATCCCATTCGGGTCTTTGATCACTTCTCGGTCGTGGAAAGGGCCCGAGTCGTCCGGGTCAACGCAAGTCGGGTCTCCTGCGGACCGGTGAATGGACGCCCACGATTTCATGAAGTGATTGAAGGACCTCCCATCTGCCGCTACGTGGAGGAAGTGGACCCCAATGCATAAGCCCTTGTTTGGGAACAGGGTCACCTAAACCATCATCATTTTAATTGAAAATTTCAGATACGAAACTACTATTTAATGTCAATTTGCGCACATCGACACGATTCATAATCTATTTTTTCTCATAATATATATTAAATCTAAATGATGAGATCCTAATTTATACTTCGGACTCCTTTTATATAATTACTCCACTCTCATTTCTTATTTTTTCGCATGTTCTTTAAACTCAAACAACGCAAAATCCAGTATCTTCTTGAAAATTTCTCACAGGCATTTTTGTTTTGTAACTCCCAATTTCGTTACCTTTGTGTTGCAACAGGAAAAGAAAAACATATGTTGTTGTCAAATGAGCTCAACTTATAGCATATTCAATACCAAATGATGAGAATTAAAAACAAGCAGACACGAACACGATCGCGTGAGAGCCAGACCATCACCAACTGACCTGAATCGCCATGAGGGGCCCCACACGTGCGCCGTTGAACGCACGCGGCGCAGCGAGCTGAGGCACCAGAGGGTGTATCAGCGTCGCGTCGCGCGCCTCGTCGGTGACGAGCTCGGCGAAGTCGGCGGCGGACTCGGCGACGGTCAAGGAGAGGGAGTCGCCGTCGGAGTAGAGGATGTGGGGCTTCCAAGGCGGCGCCAGGGGGAGGACGAGGTTGGCGGCGAAGGGGAAGAAACCGCGGAGAGCTAGGGAGAGTGAGCGGACGAGGAGCGGGAGGGTGGTCTGAGCGAAGGAGGGAGGAGACTGAGGGAAGTCGTAAAAGAAAAGGCGTTGGATGGGGCAACAGAGGAGCCACGGGATGTCGAAGAAGGTGAGGGGGAGAGCGGTTGCCGGGACTGAGTTCGCCGGCGGCGAGACATCGTAACGGTGGAGGATCTTGATCTGCATCATCTCCTCCGACGGTGAAGGGGACATTCAAGCTAATCCAAAATATCCAAAGATAACCGGAAGTTCAGTGAGAGATGAATTGGTCTCGAGAAAGAGCACAACACTCTAAATTGCTAAGCGAAAAGGTCAACGATTTGCAGACACTAAACACCAACAAATGTAATCAAATCATACTCCAAAAGGACCAAAACAAAAGCCTCTCTCTTTCTCTCTCTCTCTGTCGGTCTCAAAATCTCGCTTTCCCGTGAGTTTTTTATCCCTCTGCGAGCTTGCTTTGCTGTTGTCTTAGAGCGCAGGGAAAGTGAAGGCTTACTCTGTTTGAAATTTGTAAACTAATTTCTAAGAGTTTTTTAGGGTGGGCATTTGCTGGTGCAGTCCGGACAAATCTTACAAAAAATCTGGTACGTGGGCCGGCAAGAACCCACCAGATCCTCGAGTGTTCATAGAGAAGTCAATCATGTCTGCTGGAAAAAATCTTGTAAATAAAGTCTAAAATCGGTGCATCTAAGTCGTGGGATATCACTATAGATAGAGCCTGCGCTAATTTGTGTTGTGCGCAGGGCATTGTCCTCCACAGTCCACCATGAGCAGGGAGCATTGAAATGATCTCCATATCAGGTAGCTCTCCCATCGACACCTCCTTCAATTATTGCAAAACTATTTCTATAAACTAGTGAAACTATTATTGTTCCATAAATCTTGCCTACATCCTTTAAAGTACCCTACCCTAATCCATTCCTCTACATCAACTATACGGTTGCACACATCAAAACACAAACTATCATCAATATCTAAATCATGCTTCCGCACAATCCAAATTTCTAATATGGTATAAGAACTTTTAAATTTTCAACAGCTTCTTATATAAAAGCTAATGGGAGACAAAAGTGAGGCGAGACTCTGATAAAACAGGTCCCTAAGACAGGTTGGGGGTAGAGGATGTAATTGCATCGACCAAATATGTCCTCCGAAAAGATGGAAATTAATTTACCTCTTCTTCAAGTTCAACAATAGTTTATTATTCTGTTCATTTAATATTAGACATTTTCAAATACTATTTTTGAATTCGTGCGTGGCAAAGATACTTGACTTATGGATTATGATCGTTTAATCTCACCGTATTTACATTCATTTTTTCGGTTCAAGTCCTGATGCATGAATCAATTAGTTATTCCCAGAAACTTTCCTATTACAATTATTAAGTTTTTATTATAAAATTAGGTACGTACTTGGGCCACTATCACCCCGTATTGAAAGAAGCGTGATTTTATCTCATATTTGAAAAAGTTTATGGCAAGTTTTTTTTTTGGTTGAAAAAAAAGATCATGACAAGTTGATTGGAATTTTTTTTTCGTGGGATTTATAATTCTATAAATTGTTTAGTTAATGCTTATCATTCTTTTGCCTTGTTTTTAACAAATTTATACTCGATACACACCATTGATTTGTGGAACTGATGTCAATATCCTTACTCATTTTCACTCTTAGTCAGCAAAAATGTGCAACATTCAAACAATTACTTATTTCCTTTTGGCCCAAGAGTCCTAACCCGTTTTCACTCTTAGGGTTTGTTTAGTAACGTTTCTGTTTTTTTGTTTTTCTGTTCTTTTATTCCCCGGAACAGAAAAAGAACAGAAATCCGTTTAGTAAAAAAAATCTATTTTTTTGTTTCTGTTCCAAAAAAGTGTTCCAGAAATAGATTTGGAACAGAAACAAGAAGCAAAAAAAATCTACTTCTTGTTTCTGTAACAAGAAAAAAGAAACGATTTTTTTTCTAGAATTCTCTAAAAATAAGAAACAATCCATCGGCCGCAATCCGCCCACCGCCGCCTCTCACCGTCCTTCGCCGCCACCTACCCCCCGCCTTCCGCCGCCACCGCCGCCGCCCGCCGGCCGCCTCCCGGCCGCGCTGGCCGCCTCTTGTCGTCGACCATCGTTCTCCACCGCTCGACGCTTGTCGCCACCGACCGCCGTCCTCCACCGCTGGCCGCCGTGCTCCATCGCCCGACGCCAGCCGCCACCCGGTGCTGGCCGCCTCCCCCCGCCAACCACCCGACGCTGGCGATCACCCACCACCGGTCGCCGTCCTTGGCCGCCGCTGGCCACCCACCACCGGCCGCCATCCTCCGCCGCCAGCCATTGTGCTCCACCGCCCAACGCCGGCCACCACCCGGCGCTGGCTGCCCTCGGCCGCCGGCCACCTCTTGCCTCTGGCCACCCGACGCCGGTGGTCACCCACCATCGGCCGCCATCCTTCGCCACCGACCGCCGTGCTCCATCGACCGACGATGGCCACCCTCCGCTGCCAGCCACCTCCCGCCGTCGCCCCCCGCTGCCGTCACCACCGCTCGATGCCACCGTGCTCCACTGCTGACCGCCATGCTCCACTACCTCCCACCGCCGGCCGCCATCCTCTGCCGCCGCCGACCACCGTCCTCCGCCCCCCACCGCCCCCCACCGCCACCCGCCGTCCTCCGCCGGTAGCCCAGAAGGGAGAAACTCATCCATGGAATAGAAATGGATCATTCGTACCCTAAACGCATTTCTATTCTTTTTCTATTCCAGGAATAGAAATTTTGTGTAGTTACTAAACGCTATTTTTTGGTCAGAAACTGTTCCAAGAAATAGAAATAGAAAAAACTATTTCTGATCAAAAATTGTTTCTGGGAACAGAAATGTTGCTATGCAGACCCTTAGTCAGCAGAAATGTGCAACATTCAAACAATTACTTATTTCCTTTTGGCCCAAGAGTCCTAACCCGTTTTCACTCTTAGTCAGCGAAAAATGTGCAACATTCAAATAAGTAATTATTTCCTTTTGGCCCATTGACAAATTCTTGAGATTGCCCCGGATTTTGCGCTCCAAATTTGGTCGGAAGTCCTCACATTCGTCAATAGACTAAGGTACAAAGACAAAAGCTATTACACCCGAAATGGAAGGACTAAATTGAAATTCGCATTGCATTATGTGGATTAACTGTATATTAAAGTGACATGAATGATCTCAATCCCTTTTCGGACAAAGAGACGAACTTCTCCATGCAACCCCTAGTCAATGCCAAACTGACCTCCACACCACCATCGCCATTCCTACTCTCCGCAAGAGAGATCGCCCCAAGTAAGTCGATGTGCACCACATGGCTCTTTATCGGCCTCCCCCACCCAAAATCTATGTTGTACACCTTCAGTCTTGGTGACCCGACCACTATCACTTAATCCTCATTGTCAATAACTTTCCGGTCCCTGATCCATCCCTCCGCTCCTCTCAATCCTCCCCCCGTCTTCACTTCCTTGACTCTCCTCCCTATTGCCCTCGCAGCATGTGAAATTCCATTTTTGCTCAAGAGCGCATTTCTCTTCTTTGAGAGATAATGTATGCCTAGACAATTCCCAAAGTATGTCAAGGGTACTGAGTATTCAAGTCAGTCCCTACAATCTGCCAAGAAGCAGAAATAGCAAAGTTTTTCCTTGGCACTCTCTGATGACGATTGGTCACGGCGCTCGTGTTCTTTTCCTTTCGATTTGATCATGCTTACCCATATGAAAGCACACGTCACCACAAATGTTGACAGGTGGATTTGCTCCAACTCCGAGTCGATGTCGCCGTTCTCGAGTTCACTCAAGACCTGGGCTTTTAGCCCATCGATGTGAGCTTCTCCAAGGGCAAACGTTGCTCTCACCTTGTCCCCAACAGCAAGAAGAACTTCGCTTGGGCATGGGCATGGGCTTGGGCTTGGGCCCCCACAACTCCACTAGTCTTTCAACAATGTGGACTAGAGCCCATCCAGGTCTTTGATCGCTTCTCGGTCATGGAAAGGACTCAAGGCATCCGGGTCAACGCTGGTGGGGTCTCCTCCGAACCTGTGAATGGACACCCACGATTTCATGAAGTGATCGAAGGACCTCCCATCTGCCATGCAAATGCCCTTGTTTGGGAACAGAGTCACCTAAATCATTATCCAACAAAATTAAGGAAAAAGGACATTACAAATCTCATAACTTTTATATGGTACTCAAGTCAGTGTTGAAACTTTTCGAACGATCACTTAAGTGTCATACTAATAAAAAATTGATCACTTAAATGCTTCCGGCGACATATTCCAACAAAAAATCCTATGTCTCTTTTAATGAATTTTTAAGTTTGATGTGACTTTTTTTCTAAAAGCTAAAGTCCAAAGTGGATAAATAATGAGATAATTAAGCACGTAAATGACTAAAATGATGCCGTTTCATCTAAAGAAAAACTCATTATCTCTCTCAAGTCTCAAGTTTATTCAATGATGGTACTTAGCTGTTTTACACATTCGCCGCCACTGCCGGGGGTGATGATAGGGGCGAATAGCCAATCTTTCAAGCTATTTTACTGACTTTTCTGAATAGAAGATAATTTGGAGATTAGGGTTTCCAAGAACAAAACGATTTTGACAAACTTATCCCCAATTTGTTAATTTCGAGCACATGAATGTGAGACGATGTTGTCTAACTCTTATTTTACTGACTTTGCTTTGATGGCAAGCCACGTTGGACAGCTTATTTTAAAATAATGCCACGTTGGATCATTTATTTTGAAAAAATGCCCCATTGAATTTTCCGGCCACTCCAAAAAACCACCGATCAATCTTAAACTGATCACCAACCTCTTTTACAACCGATATGGGATAATCTCAACAATCTCCTCCTTACATATTGGGCCGTAGATCGGAGCAGCAATAACCAGTATCTCTCTCGTGTCCATACTTGTTGGACTCTGATATTAGTGTTGGGTGGTCTTGGGCGGTCTTGGGCCTTTTTCACCCCAAAAGCTAGCTCAAAGGGTAAGATTTTTCCTCACACTTATAAACTGACCACTAGCCACCACAACTAATGTGGGACAACTTCAATAATCTCTCATCCCAAAAGTTAGCTCAAAGAGTGAGACTTTCCCTCACACTTATAAACTGACCACTAAACCCTTCTACAACCGATATGGGACAACCTTAACAATCTCTCTCTCACATATCGAGCCATGAGTCGGAGTATCAACAACCCGTATCTCTCTCATGTGACTATTAAGTCTAGACTTATTGGTAATTCGGGCTATGATATCAGTGTTAGGTGGTCATGGGCCTTTCTCACCCTAAAAGTTAACTCAAAGGGTGAGATGTCTTCTCTCATACTTATAAACTAACCACCAACCCATTCCACCAACCTCTTCCCTATTTTTTCTCTTCAAAGATTCGCGTTCCTAACAACACAAAATTTATGCATCTATGATGTCATTTTCCCCAAAATCCACCATAAATTTTGAGTTTAATGTTTATTACAAAACTGGTCTTTTGAGTTAGATGTTTGTTTATCACACTTGCATTGTCAGAAGATTTATTTACGGGTGCCCCATACTTAAAAAGGAAATGTTTTGATTTCAATATACTAATTACACACAACACAAAGAAGACAATGTATTGGCAACCCAATTTTTTTTTAGATAAGTGTTTAACAAATGTCTTGAGTTCACTTGTGACAAAATCCTTATCATTTAATTACAATATGCTGATTACACATAAAACGAGGAAAATAATGCATTAGACACCACAAGCCTTCTTTATATGAGTGTTTAACGAGTGCCCTAAAGATACTTATTAATAAAATCCTTCTCATAACATACGCTGGTTACCATAAGCACGGATCAATGTCAATTTCTCATTTCACAG